TTATTGTAGTCTTATGTAAAAGAATTTAAAACCATCTTGTCAGTGCAAGACGGATCCTGCAGAATCAAACATTCTGCTTAAGTTTGACTCTTGGAGTGCACCAATAAAATCTCGCGCTGAGGCAGAACCAGTAGCAAAGAATAGAGAAAAATTATGAAGAGAAGGAGGGAGATGTACAGCAAAATAGATCGGGTGAGACAGTTAATAGGCCAAGAGAACATTATCAATAGTGAATCAAAAGGCTGCTTTAACCCTTGATACAAAAGCATAATCAAATTTAAAATAAAACCAATAAAATAACGAGTGCATTTTTAATTCTAAAATAACAAATGCATGAGGAAAGAGGTCAGTTCTTGTTTAATGAAAGAATATTTCTTTCGTAGATTTTCTTGAAAGAGGGAAGGGCTAGAGCTAGATTTGAGCCTTTTTTTTTTGTGTGGTTAAAGTCCATGATGTGGGATTAGAGAGTAATATTTTAGGGCAGATGAAGAGGGATGAGTGAGAGAATTTAGATCCAAGTAGATAACTTACTATATCTAGTAAATTACTCACCACTATAACAGGAACTTGTAAGTAAGTGGTGATCCCTTTTGTGTGAAGCTCATCCAATTCTAATTATGTCAGGATTAGAAACCTTGGTCTCTTTTTCAAGTAAAGAATTACAATGCACTAATCACTAAGTAAGCCCAATCTCAAAATCAATTTATGTCTATTTAGTGTTCATAATCAATATCAGTACATTCAACTTAAATTCATGTTTCATTAGTTTTCAGTTATCATTTAGATTTTATTACTTTGACTAGTGAAATCAATTTTAACATGTAAAACTGGAAAACAAACTATCTATAAAGCCCTAAATGCTTTTTCACAGAGGCTTTGGTAAATTCGATTTGGCCAGTTTGATGCTTTAGCCTAATATGAGGCCGGACCTGTTCTGTTAAATGAGAATAAGAACTTCTGTCAGTAAGAATACCTTTTACCTTTATTATGTTGATGTGGCCTGAGCCCGATGGGATGTAGTTTTTATAACATTGTCTTATTAAATGGGTGTCTATCTTCTGTTCTTACATTATATGCTTTCAGTTATTATTAAATGGTTAAGTGATGTGAATGCAAACGGAAGTATATTTGTTTACTTTACTTTTGACTGTAATGATTACGGCCACATCTACTGCTTTCTCATGTTTTTTCTTTTTAATTGTTTAGTTAATTTGATACTCAATACGATGCATGAATTATCACTTTTATTAGTTTCAACTCTTTTGATGTATATTTTTATCCTATTACGCAAGTCTGTCTTACGTTGGTCATGCAGTTCCTATATCAGTCATTGCTTCCTTTAGAAAAATGAAGAAGCTTACTCGAGATCATTCATTAATAGTTGCTGCAGTGAAGGAATCTTCCCTACTTGTAATAATCCTCTCTTCCTCTGGTGTCTATACAAAGTGCATGGGAATTTTATGTTCGATGTTTTATGGGAAATTTTCTCTTGATGAGAATGTAGGTTGTGAGTGGTGATGGGAAAAGTGTTAAACGGCTCAATCCATTTCAACTGCATGAAGTTAGAGATCCCAAGGTTTTTACTTCAAGGAGCACTTAGTTATTTATTGTCATGCTATTCTTGATTTTATAGAATCTTATTTTTGGGTTATAGTTTTTTACTGTTCTGGTAGAGCATTTGCCAGAGGATCACTCAGAGGAAAACATTCGGCAAATTTTTAGTGAAGCTGGAAAGTATGATTTCTTCCTCATTTTATGCTATAATCTTTTCATCATGGTGCTTTTCAGTTGCTTAAGATTTCAGTGTCTTCTGAAATGCAGGATAAAAAAGATAAGCATCCATGATCCATGTGCTATTGAAGGATCTCAAAGGTCTCGGAAGCAGAACATGATTAGTCGCAAGGTAGGGAATCAGGTCTATATGCTTAAACTCTTGTTTTGAAGATCTGAGCTGCGTTGGGTGCAGATGTTAACAAGTAAAACAACTTCTATGAGGATTTTAAATCGTATGAAGCGTTTTGTAGGTTTTGGTGACTAGCTTGATTCAGTCCAGCTGCGCTTGCCAACATAAATTGCTGGAAGGTCCAGAGTGTAGAAATAGAAAAATTCTGAATTGTCACATCCTTACCAAGAGGAACTGGGGATATCTAGATTTCCATTCGTCTTGATAAAATAGATTTGGCCTCTTTGGAAGTAGAGTTAGATATGCATTGCCTTTTAGAAATTACCAGTCCTCTTGAAGAACTGAAGCAAGCTGGATTCATCATGTTATAAAATATTGAAATCCTTAGATAACTTGTTTGGAGCAAGTTGTTATAATTTTTATCTAGCAGAGATAAATATCTCTTCTGTGTAGAATATAGGAGTTTTATGTTATTAGAAAGACCTGACAACTTAATAAGCTTTCTCAATAGGGTTGAGGTTTCTCTCAAAGGGAGAAAGCATCTCAAGGGATTTGAGAGAAGTTTGAGGTCAGCTTGCTGGAAATGTAGATAAGAGTCAATTAAGTGATAGTTCTGGAAGAATGATTTAGAAGTTCTGCTGGAGGTGTTTTGTTAGAGCACTTGGTATTGCTGCAAATCATATTAGGAAGTAAACTAGAAGTTATAAACTGAAAGAATTGTTGTAGACACCCTTACCCAACAAGAAAAAAAGATTTCAAAATTCTTTTCAACTCGGGGACACATCACTGTTTCAAGTTGTGGAGCTGATGTAGGACAATTGACCCGGAATGTTCTATGGCATTGCTGTGAGGTCAACAGTATGGTTTCTGTTAGCTTTATTGAACTAGGAGATCAATCACTTTCCTAATTTTTTTGAACAGTTTAGTTGATTTATTTTCATAATTCTGGCTGCTCTAAACTTCTTTCATGATCTTCCTTTGAAAGTGTTAAATTTTTTCTTATATATTGCTTCTTCCAGCCTTTGACATAAAAGCTAGATAACTAATTTGTAGATATAAAGGAAATTAGCTTAGTTATTTGTTAAAAATATGTGTTGAATTTCCTAAAATACTTTCTTTAATCATTTCGGTCAGACCTACACCTGGACAGATACTCTCTTAACATGTACAATCAATGTGGATAGTTTGGGAAAAAATTATAAATTTGAAAAACAAAGTGGGTTGAGGTCTTATATTTAGAACCAAAGTAAAATGCTTAATTAGCTCTTGTATCTAGGAGTGGAGGGAGTACTTTTTAGCCTTGGGGAACTTAAGTCATAAACATAAAATATATGGGGATCAGGGTAGGTAAGATCCACAATCGAACTAGAAATTTCAAGTTATTAATGTGATCTGCATTTTACTATGCTGTAGATATGTCAAATTTCTATTCTTTAAATTTTTGCCTATCAGCAGCTTTGGTAATGCTGATGTATGAGCAGGACAACTACTTATAATTTAAATAATGCGTTAATTTATTGATAGATGCTTAGCAATTTCAGTTATTAGGTTGTTTAAATTATCTGTTTCAGTTTTTGTGGAACCATCTCTAATTTTGAATGGACCAACTTTCTTATCCATTTTTTTTTTAAAACTATCCATACGATCATTTCAGCTTTTAGGCATTATATCATACCTGTATTATTCTTCTCTTCTATTGGAATTGCTATATGGCTTATTTATTTCAATATTTATTTCACTTATACATCATCATTCTACATGTGTAGTTACATGCTCTTGTGGAATACGAGACTGTTGAGGCTGCTGAGAAAGCTGTGAGTTTGAAGTTATATATTATAATCGTAATTATAATTATAATGTCATTTGGTCTTTGTTGCCTGCATGATTAACATATTGTCTGTGCGTTCTTAAATTAGGTGGCTACTTTTAATGACGAACAGGACTGGAGAAATGGCTTGCGGGTTAAAGTTCTTAAGAAAATGGTTAGTGCCAAATTTCTTTCTTCGTTTGAAAGTAAAAGGTGTTGACGCTGATTAAATTATGCAGATTAAGGATGGACACAGCAGAAAGCAAGCTTGGAAGGGATCTGATTCTGAGAAGAATAGCACTAGGACTGGCCGTGTATCTGAGTTAACTGGAGACGGGGAGCATCATAGCTCTAATGAGCATAATGAGGATACACCTCATGAGGAGGTTTGCGTTCACACAAGCATTTTTAACTCCAATTTGGCTGCATCCTTTTGCCTAGATACCGACCAAGTGAAGTCATAATATAATTGGCCTTAAACGAATTATTTTTTTGATACAAAACATATAGTCAATTTATACCCTTTAAGAAGTCACAAAGAACTTGTCATTTAATTATTATTATTATTAATCCCTTCTGTGTACTCGGCCCCCCCCCCAAAAAAAAAAACCAAAAAGGGGGGGGAGAAAAACATCTTTTTGGATTTTAGACGGTGCAACCAACCTACTGCAATACCCTTTTTTTTTCTTTTTGTTGCCCTTTTTTGTTTTGCAATCATTGATGTGCACAACACAACCAGATAACATGACCAGTTTAGATTTGCTTATGTTGGCTTCCTTTTACAGGATGGAGAACATTTGTCAAAGGATAAAGGCGGGCAAAGAAATAGAAATCAGGGGCGCTCAAGAAAACATAAATATCGAGGCATGCATGGAATGGGTATATCTTTCTAAACTTTTTCCTTGCTGTTTCTGTCTCTCTAGTTGGTTTGTTATTTTGGTTTAACTTCCATTAAAGCTGAAGCCTCTCTTGTTGATGACCTGTTCCCTTGGGACTGAACCTAACAAATTTGACCATTGCTTTCCTCAGGCCATGGCAGTACTTCCTCTTCTCATCATGCCACTGAAGCACCAAAGCCACCTCCGGGACCAAAAATGCCCGACGGCACTAGAGGATTCACAATGGGCCGAGGGAGGGTTCCTGCATCCTCTCCCAATTAGTGATCCAACAAGTGCTGATATTTTAAGATGGAGCTGCCAATGCGAATTCAATACCAATAGTAAATACGATTCATCACTTAATTATATTTAAACACAATATACTTTATCGTCCTTTGACTGTCGTGTTGTATCACAGATTCATGTCAATATGGATCCATGTCGATATGTTGCATAACTAGGACAAAGCTTTGGCTGTTTTTTGCACTTCTCTGCCATTTGTATCGTTCTGTTAGTGTATCTGCAGGAGTCAACGTCCAAGGGATGGTTCCACTGCTAGTTTTGGTGGGCTCTATATTGAGTCAGTGTGGCTACTTGCTAGCAGGCATATGGCCAAATTCAGATGTTTTTTGGTTTTTTTGGCCAAAGATTCGTTAGTTTGGTGAAAGACAAGGTTTTTGTTTTACCATTTATTTCATATTTCTGATGAGAAATCTTTGTACAGAATATCCTTATGATCAATTGTGTCGTGTCGTGGTGGTGATGAAATTCGTGTTCCTAGATATGTTCCCATTGAAAAGCGAAACCACTCCTTCCTATTTTTTCCCCCCTTCAAACTAAAAGGTTTTGATCATACTTTTGTTTATTTATTTCCCAGGGCTAGCTGGTTTATCCTGTACGTTCTGTATTCTTTACGGGCTGGAATGAAATTTTCCGTTCGTGAGGAGCTTTGATCACATAAATATCTTACAAAGTTTTCGGTTCAATTGTTTTCACAATTTGGTTTTCTTAGTGTCAGTTTGGCTTTATCTTACAAAGTTCTATAATTTTTGAAAAGTCGATTTCGTCGTTTTATTTCTATTTCTTATTTTAAAAATAATACAAAAGGCTCTCAACTTCACATTTTTAAAAATTTATTTCGAAAGTGAAATACGAACTAAATTTAAAATTTTAAAATTTAATTTAAAAATCACTTCCTGCATTTTTCGATTGGAACAACATAATTGGAGAGGGGTTTATGTGGTTGTTTTTCTAAATTTTACTTCGCCCCTCACCTCCTTAATGCTTCCTTGAATTTTAAATAAAAGTCCATTTGGAAATTTTGTTAAAAAATAAATTGTATTATTTATAAATTACGAATAATTTAATTTGATTATGAAATTTATTATAGGTATAAAAATATATTGCATACATAATACTACTTCCGGTCCTTAATATAAGAGTTAGTTGACTAATTTAAATAGATTAAAAAAACTAGTTAAGTTAATTATTTATAATAAATAGGTGTTGTTTTTCTTGACATATCATTATTAATCAAGTATATTGATTAAAATTATTATTATAAGGACTATCTTAAAAAAAAATAGACAAATGTGAGAGACAAAATAAACCGAAGTTTTATATTTACAACCAAAATGAAAGTCAAATGAGTTTTTATATTAAGGATTGAAGGTAGTAAAATTCATGTAGTCATGTAAATTTTCAGAACATATCTGTGTAGTTTGAGAGAATCAAATAAGTCAGGTCAAAAAAAAACAGAGAGAGAGAATCATATAAGAATGAGAAGGGAAGACTCGCCATTAGGGACTATCATGTCCCTCTCATCTGGGGGGTTTCAAGCTCTTTAGTCTTCGAAGGGGCAATGCCGTAATGGTGATTACCTCAACTGAACTTGACTTTTACTGAAGTTGACTTCTAAACTTTTTTCAAACAAATCCATGATAATGACCTCAATCCAAAACCATGCTTGAAATGCGAAGAATAGAAGCTACATACAATTTAGTTGACAAAATAAATTAATTAAAATAAGTGAGCATGATGTTGAACAATTTATCTTACAATAGCAAGCGGTGTAAGAATTTCACTAACATAATCCAACGTTCACAAAGCTTAAATAAATATTATTTCTGGTCCTTAATATATAAAGTTAGTCATTTGTAATAAATGTATTATCTTTTCTAAAATATCCTTACTAATCAAATGTATTGACTAGAACTATCATTATTATGAGAACTGCTTTGAGGAAAAAATAGATAAATATGAGAGACAAAATAGATCATGGTCTTATATTTAGGACTAAAATAAAAGTCAAATAAGCTTTTATATTAAAGACCGGACATAGTATTTTGATGACTAATATTTTCTTTAACTATTTGCAATCTAGAGAAGTAAAACCTAGTCGTGGTCATCATCATCATTTAAATGACATAACTAAGATGCAAATTGCAAGCATGGAATACTCACTTCTAGCACTATTTTAACCTTAATTTTTTAATTTTTTTTGGCAACTTGTTCTTCTCTCTATCTTAATTAAATTTTGTGGAAATTTTATTTTATTTTTTGGTGAAGAATTTTGTGGAAATTTTAGTTTGCACTATCATTTTTCTTGAGCCTCTAGAAGTAGTTCGAGTTCATAATCATAGCCATAAATGCAAAAACTAAACGCTCAATGTAACTATGAATTGCATGCTTCTTTTGGACTGGGAACTCGTCTCCTTTAAATGTATTTTCTTTATTTGGCCAAAAACAATAAAAGTAAATAAAAAACTGTTGTCACGCTCATATGAAATATGAATGATGCCTTTTAGAATCACTTATAAGTATGTAAGCTGAAATAAAATTCCTCTCGTGTTTATCTCATATTTCATTAACACAATTAAAAAATTATTTATAAATTATTTCAAACCTATCTGAACCGTGACTCTGTATGCGCCAAAAGCCCAAAATATAAAAGCGCGTGACGTAATGCTTCTCGAGGCGCGTGTTGATGAGCAAACTCCCGCGATGATTTCGAAGTGAGCAATGGCAAGTGTCTCAGGTCAGGTGGACGATCTTCATTTCGGCATTTTATAATTTTCGTCGTATGCGCAGTCTGCATTCTCTTCCCCACTATGCTTGCCTGTATATATAAGCCTCTTCCCTCGACCTCTTCGCTGCTTTTTCTTCGATGGCACGCCCGGTTCCTTCTCCTTCTTCTTCAACCTCCTCTCACCTACTCTCCTGAGATCTCCTTCTCCTCCTTCTTCTCCGCAATTCCGTGGCGGCGATGTATCTTCATTCTCATTTCCTCGGCCGCCGCCACCTCCTCCTCGCATCTCACAAACACTTCTCTCGCGCTATGTCTGCTCCAGGTCGATCTTATTCGTTCGTTCATTACCGCAGTTCCGAATCCTGTTCCGCCCGGGTATATGCTTGTGCTGATCTTCCTAGTTCCGACTTCCTTTTATGCTGTAACGCCTTTTATGGTTTTGTTTAATTTGTTATCATTTTTTCCGTCTGAGAATAATCCATTAATTGAAAACTCTGTGGTCGCTTGAACTCGTTTGCTGATCACTGCTGGCGAACCTAATAATTTGGTTGAGACAACAATCATAAAGAAGGCAGTTCAAAACAGTTTATTTACTCCAATGTGTAAGCCTGTAATCTTGAGCCTTCGAAGTACTATAAAGAAAGAGCTCTAGATCCCTTGCGTATAAATGTGAGAACAACTTAACTTCAAGGAGGTCGTGTGATATACAGAATAGCTGCTCATAGTAGTAATTTTCACTAATATCAATCAGTGATCATAAATATTTCGAACTACTCATAGAATGGGCTTCTCTGAGTGGCCTTTAATAGATCCCTGATTGTAGATTGAAATCGTTGAACAATGAATAACCAATTCTGCTTTTACCTTCCTCCTGCAGTAATATGTGGCCTTTAATCTCTGAGTGGGTTGTAGGACTTGCTTATTAATTTCTTTATTTTAGGCCTCATATGTGGAGCATCATTTTTAAAGTGTCAATTCTGTGAGGTTGTGTTACTGTTATTTATTTTAATTTGAAAGCATAGTAGCCAATGCCTAAGGCACTGTATAGTAAAATATGAGTCTAAAATTGAGAATTCGACATCGCTCAGGACTTTTGATGGAACGTAGTGAAAGACTTACTTGAAGCGTAGGAAATAGTATCAGGAAGTTAAATTTATTTTATTTTGAAACACTTTAATTATCAGGTTATTTATCTTTTTGTTGTTCTTTTCCGCGATATATCCTTTTGTTTAATTTATGTTTTTAGCTACCTTGATGCCTCTTGGACTCCATATAAAGTCCTTAGCGATTAGGCTAGGTCATTTTTTATTAAGTTAATAACATCTCATATATTCTCCTGCTTTTCATCCTTTCGTCTCTAGTTCTCGCTTCTCACTCTCCCTTTCTCTCTTGTTCTCATTACTGGTTCTACATCAACTTCCTATTTGCTAAGCTCACAAATCCCAAGGGGCAGAATCTGAGGCTCACTACAGGGAACATTTTTCTAGTCCATTTTAGAATTAGTTATTTTGTGATTTTGAGACTTTAAGTCTTAATGCCATCCCAATGCTATGCTTACCAAGTAGTAGTTTTTTATTTGCATATTATGTGCCACTGTTCATCGTTTAATCCCTTATGTTTTGTAGTTAAATCCTTTAATTATTTGGCTATATAGGTCATATGGTCAATATTGGAATGTTCGTTCTAGCTTTTTTTTATGAGAAGCTTTCCCAAATATGAAACCAATCAATTTCTTATCGTGCCTTCACCTTTAAATTTAAATTTATGAAATTATTATGCATGAATTGCTGATCATTTGAGGCCTGCTTTATTTTGTATAGTTAAATCCATTGATCATTCAACAATATAGATGCTGTGTTCGATATAATGTCCTTACTAGAGCCTTTGATGAGGTAAATTATCATTCCTCTAGAGCCAAGTTTTTTTCCTTAAAAAAATATGCCTTTATTTTTATAATTATAAATACATTTGACGCTACTTCCTAATTCTTCTTAAAAAATATGTGCAGGATAGCAGATATTCTTCTCTACAATTATTAACATAATCGCTCCTTTATTTCTATTCCCTTGACCCATATTTGTTCTGTCTTTTTCCCTGAAAATGCAGATATCGAGTCTTAAGTAAAAACTATGATGGTTAGTCCCCGCTCACATCTGAATTACATGTTAAATTCAGTTTATAGGTAGTTTGAAACTCTGGGTTTTTCAATGTATGGCATAATGTTGGGCCGATTCAGAATGTCTGGAAGAGACTGATTAGAGAGAAAGGAGAAAGTATCTAATCATGTTTATTTGAAGCCATCTCTACGTTCCTCAACCTTTCTCTTGGTCTGTGCATTTTTGTCTGCATGACATTCTACCCTCATTCAGGGTTTACAATAGGAGGGGGAATGCATCACATATGCAACACAATGAATCCTTTCAGGTTTTATAATTTATTTTGCAGTTTATCTAGGCTGATATAGTCATGATATTGATTATGCTTTACAGGATTCTTTTGACTTACCATCACTTGATGAATGGGATCCTGATGAGAGCACTTCTGGATATTTACTCTCATCCAGCGATGGTGAGGATAGTGATGGAGAAATGGTGCTTACTCCAGCGAATGATGTTGATTTACCTTCCATTTCTGTTTCGAATAGTGATGCTTTAACAGTGACCGCCCATCGACTTGCAACTCTTGGGAGGAGACGCAAGAGACATGGGCAAGTATGCTGAACTTAAGCTAGTGGTCTTGTCTCTGGCTTGTTTTGAAAGAAAATTTTTTCACTTTCAGTAAGTATTGAATGATAGATTGAGAAGGTTAGAGGATGTTGCAGTATTTTTGCTAGAAAATGTGTGGTCTTACTATAATGCTATATTTTATGATATCACATGTCATAGGAATTTTATTGAAGGCACATGATGACGATTTGAAGGCTACAAGGCATCAAAGATGTGGGGAAACCTCAGATGAACATAAATTTTGATTGTTTATATTATTTTTATAGCCTCTAACTTATGAATTGATAACGAGAATATATGGCTCAAAATGGAGTCTTTGTCACTTACCTACCGTAAAAGAAAAGATTGAAGAGATGATATATGGAAGAAATGTTGAGAAAGGGCATTAATGTAAATGTGAGGAGATCTGCATTTCACAAAAAGAATCGGATTGATATCTCTATACCTTGAGGCTGAAAGAATTACTTCTTCCACGAGTCATGATGTGAGGAAATTTCATAATTTTTTGTTTCTTGGTCCGATAAACCCATCGTATATTGGATATGATTTTCCTTCAGCTGCACCTTGTCAATGATACGTAATTCTTTGTTGATCATGGGAGCTTGGGTTATAGCTATTGCAACCTCGTAGGTTGCTGTGTAATATGCTTAGATGTCGTTAGTCTAAATATGATTTTCTTTTTAATTGGGTTTTATTTCTAACAAGCCTCCGGCTTTGTAAGCTTCACCTTGATGGTGAGAGTTAAGTGATATAAGAGTTTGGGAAGCTAAGAAGTCAGAAAAGTCTAATTGAGTGACTGGTAGCACACCCAATGTAAACAGCATAATTGTCTTTATCTTATTAACGTATCAAAATATTAGGGTCTGAGACATCAATGTTAACGGCAATGTAATTGAATCTTTGAATTATATATTTAATGTCCCCTCCATTTCTCCTCAAGTTTCTCCCCTACGTTCTTAACGGAACTGTTTTTCTGCATTATATTGCACTGGGTCTAATCTAAGTACAACAGTATCTATACGTTGTCCTTAATCTTTGTCTAGAGCTTTGCTAATACTGTAACTGCTTTATTTTGTGTGTGTGTATTACAGTTAGTTTGTAAACCAGTGTCGTTTATCTTTGTTCCTGGATTGCTGATTATTTTTCAGAACGTTTTATAAGTTACTTTTTATGCTGCTGGAGTGCAAACTTTAGATGCAAGTGATTACATTTATCTTGTCAAACCTACTGACATATGCATTACTAGGCCTGCCCCATTGCTACTTGAAGTTTATTTTTTGCCTGATTTTGTTCACATGTTTTGCAGGAAAAAATTTGGCAATTTCATTAGTTTTGGCCTCATAATCTTCTTGACAGTGCTGCTTTTATACATTGATTGGTGCGCTTGGAGAATTGTTAGACTGCCCTTGGCCCCCTTTTACATGACCCGTCCGTTTCTTATATCAGCCTTTTTGGTGGCTTTTCTTGGCTACATTTGCATCCCATTTTTTCAAATTTTTGAATTTATCCAAGTATTTAGGGCAGAAGGACCTGTCAGCCATCTATTGAAAAAGAATGTGCCCACATTGGGTGGTTTACTATTTGTACCAATAGGAATATTTGTTACTAGAGCCGTTGGTGGTTTCTCCTCTGTAGAAGTGTCTGGGGCAGCTGGTGCAACTATGGCATTTGCCGTGATTGGTTTACTTGATGATATAATAAGCCTTGCTACAAAACAGAAGAGAGGTTTGCCTGTATGGGCAAAAGTTCCTTTGGAGGTGACCACCTTTTCATTAAACTCATTGTTTTGGATCTTTTAATTTGCTTTGTGTCTTATTCCATTGACTTGAATATTTTTAAACGGTCTTTAATCAAATCTACGTTGTCTAACCACACAGGCTGCTGTTGGAGCGTCGTTCTCAATTTGGTTGGATACCTCTAGTATATCATCACCCTATGGCATGTATATCTTCTTTTACTAATCTGACCAACAATTTTCTGATGGTACTAACATATCTGACCCCATAACATGAAATTTTACAGGCAGTTGTCTGGAAGGTTTTGGGCCCATTTTGTGCTTTTGAAGTCTTCCAAGAATTTTAAAAAATGCATATGACGAATGCCTCTTTGTTTGCCTTGACCTGACAGGTCTCGGCCCTCTTTGCCTGAATGACATATAATGTTTTATCAAATTTTAGACATATTATGATAGAAACTGCAAATGAAAAGAGCTAAAATTGAAGAAAATATCTGTATCTCCTCTATGCATTGAGAAAATGTAGAGAAATACAATCATGAATCACTCTATTGCTACTGTGTGCTACTCTATAGTATCGGAACTCACACAACAAAGGAAATCAAGTTGGTTCACAGACCAGAACATGAAAGAAAAGCGCTCACACAGCCTGGTTTTTGGGAGATCAGGTCCTCTCCTCACTGCCAATACTCCTAGCCTGCCTCCCAAAACATCCCTGTCACTCTTTTTACGCACACCAACTACTCTGACGCTGTCAGGAGAATCCCTTATCCCTCCTCCCCATTCTGTCCTTCCTTACTCTGCATGCTGTCTTGAGTCTTATGGGCTGGGCCTACTTCTCAGCTGCTATTCCCTTTGGACCCTATTCTATATACTCGGTCCCAAAGGTTGGTAGGCCCATCATATCGTGATTTAGGTTTTTGATGATACAGAATCTAGCTATGCCATAACATCATTTGGTTTTATTCCTCATGGAGCTATGAAAATGTTTAGTATCTAATCGCTGAATATCATCTCTCAGAGGCACTTTAGTTCACTGCATAAAAGTGAAATCATATGTCCTTTAGAAATTCAAAGCTGACTACTTGAGTATTTTATTAATTTTTGGGAAATTTTGTATTTAGAAAAAAAAAAATGAAGCCATTTATTTGTTTGAGGAATATGCCACTTTTGAGATTTCAATATAATTCATCTCCCTCATTGCTCTGTCTCTTTAACTTAAATGCAGGAAGATGCTGGTTCCTCTACCGCTTGGCCTTATGTACTTGGGACGATATTATCAACTGTTGACTTCATTTTCTTTTGTTTCAATGGGACATGGGGTTGAAATAACCAATGGTCTTGATGGACTAGCCAGTGGTATTGCTGCATTGGCCTTCATTGGAATGTCGATTGCTGTGCTTCCAATATGTTCTGGTTAGTGGAATGTGTGAGGCACTCCTTAATTATCATTCTGGTTCCATTCTTCAAATACGTCCATCATGCTTATGCTATAAAGAAATATTTGACTTTTTAACATTGTCAGTTGAGACCCAAATTGTTTGTGGGTAGGTTTTTCCATGCCTCACTGAACCATCTTAAGTAAAAATCTGTTTATTGTTATTCTGTTGCACCTTCAAAAGTTGAATTCTGTTCATAATCTAGATTTAATTTAATATTACCTTCAGTTGACTAATTTGAGAAAATTGGGAAAGCTAAAAAATTACTTAATTATAGCATGTTACATGATCTCTCTGTAATACTTATGCATATCATTAGATTATATATCAATTTATAAGTCAGACAAATTAGTTTGGAGAAAAAGGATAAGTATAATATTTTAAAATAGTTGATTTAGCTATCTTAATTTTCTTAAATTAGTTAACTAGATCTTATATAAAAGACTAGAAGTAGTATAATACAATTTTGTCATTTATGACGTTATAGTGCTCCATGCCTATTCTCACTGGTCAGGAGAGAAAATCATAATCATCTCTCGGACTGGGCTAAGGTTAAATGAACTTTCCCCCCGTTTTCATAAGGACACCGAAACAAGTCGTTGCTCATCATCTGAAGTTTTCGTTACAGTATATTAGAAGTTATTATGACCTAGCTTTTTACTTGATGCGCTCGTTATTGATCTATGAACATGTTAAACCAGATCTTGCTATATTTGGAGCCTCAATGGCTGGATCTTGTGTTGGGTTTCTCCTCCACAACAGATATAAAGCATCTGTTTATATGGGTGACGTCGGCTCTTTGGCACTTGGCGGTGCATTAGCTTCAATGGCTGCATGTACTGGAATGTTCTTTCCATTACTCATTTCTTCTGGAGTTTTTGTTGTTGAAGCATCATCAGTTGTGATTCAGGTTCTGCGCATGATTTCATTGCCATTAAACTTCTTTTTTTTTCGAAGTTGCCTTTTGGTTAACTAGTTGCCCCGCCTCAGAGACATTCTCCTCTTCTGTTACACATTAAGCTTACCCCTTTACGTTTTAAGTTCTACTGTTCTAGTGACACTTACCGGGTTCTGTGAGATTGCCTTAATGAAGATTTAGGCACAATGAATATTTACATAGTTCTAATACCACTGAGTTCAAAACCATTCGTTGTCTACTCTAAGGTTAGCGGCTGAACCAAATCAATAGTACAAGAGTGAGGAAGCTTAGGAAAAAGGGTGATAAGAAACGAAGGGGCAAAACTGAACGCCCTGTTGACTTGGATCTGTTTAGTTTTCCAACAAAAATGCAATGAAAGAAATATGCTTCAGATTTCCGATTTTGCAGGTGAATAGGTTTCTCAGGTGACACATTTGTGGCTTGTATGAATTTTAAATTTCATCACTTGGAAAACATAATGCACTTTAGTTTTAAAAATATATTGAGAGAAAATTCTTCTCTAGTACCTCAAGAGGCACCCAATTCCAAAACGGTACTTAATGAGATTCTGTGTATGCTACCTTGGCGTGGCTCAAGCAGCAATGGCTGGTTGAGGTCTGAGTTTTACATGCAATCCATTGCCACCCAAATAAACAGAGAACTAAAAAGAATTATATATACCGTCCTGTGATATGAATATTTAGTCTATTTTTCTCGTCTCTCCTGTGAATATATAACTTTAGGTCTCGTCAATAAATTCTTATCTACGTATATCTGTGTCACCAATTGGGTCATTAATTTTAAGTACTACTGGAACCAGGAGTTTATGATGATATCACATTGTATATCTGATGAGAATGTTTTCCTTTCTTTCCCCCTCTTAAATCTACCAGGCAATCTACTTCAGTGTAAGAAAAGGCTTTCAGCGAGTGAGGCGCTACTTCTTTCATATGGCTCCCATCCATCATCATCTCCGACTATCTGGGTTCAGGGAACCGACTATCGTAGCAGGTGCATATGTTATCTCATCACTATTAGCTTTGCTTGCTGGCTATGTTGGTCTTGTTTCAGCTTAACGTCCTTAGAAGGTTATATTCTCATCTCTGCTTAGTAATCTGCATTCTTTTATTCATTGCACGCACGTAGGAAAAGGTTGATCCAGGCTTCATAGTTACCCTTTTTTAATATATTTTTCTAATGATCAGTTCCTTAGTTGCTTTGTCTTGCAAAACTATTGGCAAAATTATCAAATTTTGGTGAGTCGCTAAATTCTGTAGGAGGTTTTATTTTAATTAAAAAAAATTGCTGCAAGGGAAGCCATATTTTTGATTTAATTATTAAGGAAGAATTGCTATAAAGTCCTAAGCAATAGACATAATTACTTAGAAACAGAGCAATCTGTAACGATAACCTCCAATTGTGTATTGAAATTTACTAGTAATTAGTTTCTTTCATTATGATTCTCCCAATTATTATGACATCAACAAAAATAAATTTTGCAATATAAGTTGACAATTGATGTCGTTGGGGAAAATTCAAATCTGGCTCCCGCGTTGCTTGTGTACGGTAAATTCATGAAAGTATATTGATGTCGTAATTATAGTCCAAATTTAAGAATATAAATATAGAAAAATCACTTTAAGGTGTGATTTAATGTCCCAATTATTGATCTATATATCGATATCATCATCAATTTTTGATTTGCTCTATAAATCTGAAGTCAGCTTGAATTTAAGACTTTCGTAAATTTTTCATTAAGAAATTAGTTCTTAAAATTATGGTTAGCCTTAGTTATAATTCTAAGAGATAACACGTGGTTGATATGACAATGATATTGTTAAATATGGCGATAATGTTTGGTGTTATACAAAGACTTTAACCAAGTTGACTATGACTATAGAGAACAAAGACAATAGTTTTAGCTAATAAGGGTTGCGTATGGCAAATAACGTGACAAATTAAAATACAAATTCTTATGGAGAGGGATTTTTATATTTAGTACCTAATATTGTTTTAAACAAAATTACCTTAAGCAGGATAATATCTATACATAGTAAAAAAAAAGGGGGGGAATATTTTTCTCAATATATCAATAATTCAATAATTCAATAATCAATATAATATATATATAACAAAATTTACAAGTTATAATATTTACCAATTAATCTCATTTTCCAAACTATGTGTGGTGGTAATGTTAAATTGGAGTGGCTTAACCTCATCCTAAGCCTCAGCACATGTCCTTGGTTTTGAAAGACCGCAGTGGAGCCCCAAACTTAAAAATCCATTGATTAGTCCCAATCATGATGATACTGACTATACAAGAATGATATGACCATAAATAATGTAATTCTTACAATTACTCTAAAGCGGCAATCATATATTCGCGCCCATAATTGTTCCCAATGAGAAGTATCCAAATTAGAGCATGTGCTCCTCAATCAATTCGCACTTGATCAACCTAAAAGCTAATCATTGTAGACGAATAGCCCGAGGCAACTTTAAATCATTTATAAAATTTACGTGGTTTCAAACTCTCATATCTTCCCCCATTATTCAGCATTTCTATAGTATACTCCTTCCCTCTTTTTATAAGAGCCTCATAATTAAATTACATAGTTTTAAAAACCAATTAAAATTAGTTTAAAGTAATAAATATGTTAGAAATGAACTCTATTTTTTAAGTATACTTTTATTTATAGGGGGTAAGTAGGGGGGAGGAGAGAGAGTAATAATGAGAGAAAATATGAAAGAGATAGCAGTATACTGTATACGAAGTTGTCAATCTTTTAATTAATACAGCATATAAAATTAATTAGGGGCAAAAATAGTAAAAGCACATTCAATGTTCAAACAACTCCAAGTAAGCTCTTATAAAAAAGACTAAGGTAATTCAAATTTCAGATTCTTATAAAAAAAAAAAACCGAAATATTACCAGAGGATTGAGGTGTCCATCCAAAGAATCAACAAGAGATTTTAATAACTTAAACAAAATATGTTACATTATAAAACATAAAAGATTCTCACAATAAGAATATAGAGTGCAGCTACTAACAAATTATTGATTAAGATTTACCTCCATAAAAAGAGAATACAAGTTTAAATTTCAAAAGTTAGGTGAAAGAGGCAAACTTTTTATGCTTTTAAGTTTTGAAAGAAAATACTCTTATTCAAGTAAAAATAAAATAAAATAAAATAAAATAAAGAACATAGTGCGGGGCTCACCATGAGAAGGGGAAAGAATAGATGTTGAGGGCTCATTGGATAAACTCTCATGTGGTAAATGTCGGTAACGCCACAACAAGGCGGCTGGACTTGCATGTTCCCCCTGAAGCTGATGGCTGCCTGCGGTTGCATTTCGCAGGAGCCCCACCAAAGCAAAAGTAAACTTTCGTATCGCTCATTAAATGTCTTTTTGAGTTTTTCCGCGACAACGGACAACATTCAATGTCTGAAAAGGGCACGTCCATTTCATAAAAATTACTGCTAAATATCTTTTTTGACTTTTTTAGATTTTCTGGCCCCAAAAAAAAAAAAGGGCTTCGAAGATTTCAATAAAATATTAACTGCTCCATCTTAATCATGAGAATGCTACTTTCACTCCTGGTTATAAAATTTTGTTTATAAATTATAAATAAAATCTTATAATTAGGATCGAAAATAGTATTGTAGAAGGTAAAGTGCTCACTCTACTAAAGCAAATGCCTATCCTCGCTGAAAATTAACCCTCTGATTCTTATTATTAGTTATTTGTAGAGAAAATTTTTTATCTTAATTAATAATTATTTTTTAATTTATTCTTATTTAATTTTTATTAAAAAGGAAAAAAGAGGAGAGAAGTATGCAAATTATTTGTAAAAACAGAAAGAGATTAATAAAAATAAATTTGAAAACTTTATCAATTTATTACATTTCAAGATACTCCCTTCAATCTTTTTTATAAGAACATGATAACTAAATTACCAGATTTAAGAATTAGTTTAAAATAATAAATTATTTTTTTAAAATATATCCTTATTTATAAGGAGGAAGATAGAGAGAGGAAATATGAAAGTGAAGGTAGTATGCCAACATACCAACTTTTTAATTAATGCAATATGTAAAATTAATTAGGAGCAAAAAAAGTAAAAACACATTAAATATTTACACAACCACAAGTGGAATCTTGTAAAAAAAAAAGAACTAAGATAATTTAAATTTTAAACCATAGGTTTTAATCTCTTTAGAGACAAAATGATCTAAGTTCTTATTGTATTATATAGACTAATATTTAAATAAAAAAATTTAAAGGACCAAAACCTATGATTTAAAATTTGAGATACCAAAAATTATATTAATCCAAAATAAAAAAGATGTTTTAAATTTACTCACACTTAAAATCATGAATAACATTTTGAATATATATATACACAATATACTTCTTTGATCCTACTTATAAAACAAATAGAGAAAATATTTTTTAGTTCTATTTATAAGATATTAAGAGAATTTTTTTTATGTAGATATACAATTTTACTCTTCATTTATTATTATACTGATTTTGTTTATATAAAATATAATATATATTAAATAAGAATGAAGTTAAAAAAATTGTCAAATTCTAAATAAGAGTTAATAAAATTTAAAAAAATTTTTAACCTATATAAAACATATTAAAAATAACTTGTAAATAGAAGAAGAGGAGAATCTCAAACTCTAATAAGAATAGTCATTCTTATTTAATATGAATAATGTTTTGACCTACTTAAAAACTCATCTAAAATAGCAAAACATACGGCCCGAATTCCCAAGAGTTGAAACCGCCGCATCTCAACGAATTTGCCTTTTAACTTTTTTTTATTGAACTGCCAATTGCCAATAACCCACCAACCAACCAATGATCGCTCACATACATAACACGTCCACTCTAACACAGACTTTTACAACACAAAACAAAAGAAAGAATGAAAATACCTAACGGTCCCATTTCCCCAACACCCAAATTCAAACAAATAAATTAACCACAAAAACAAACGGACCTCTTGCCTTGTCACTGACAGCCGACAGCCCAAGAGCAGAAAAAGCATAAAGTAACGAAAAGAGGAGAAGAAAAAATGAAAAAAATAAAAAATAAGAAACTGACGGAGAACAGAACCGGTGGGTACTTTCGTCATTTCGTCAATTCAATCTGTGGGAAGGAAGGATATCGTGTGCATCGCCTCTTCAGGGAAACCTTGCAATCGTCCTTCGGGCAAATGGTAGGAACGTACGAGATCTCATCACAGCCGTCCGATCTGTGCCTCTTGAAATCCATCAACGACGCAAACAACGCTATGAACAGAACCAGGTGATTGAGAGCATATCTCTGCCCCACACACTGGTGGGCCCCAGCACCGAAGGCCAGAAAATTCCTTTTGAATATCTGGTCCTCTTGCCTCTCCCCCGAGAACCGGTCTGGGTCGAATCGGTCCGGTTCGGTGAAGCCCTGGAAGGAAGAATCAAATGCGGAGGGGAATACAATGCAACCTTTGGGGATCGTGTAGCTCTCCGTCAACGGGAAATTCTCCGCTGCTATGTGCGGCACCAGCGTCGCCGGCGGCCTGTATCTCACAACCTCACGCGCCACAGCTTGCGTGTACTTCATCTCCCTCAACTGCTCCGCCGTTATCAGAGTATCGCTCTCGGGAGACCACACTCCCGCGACTTCCTCCCTGACCTTTGATAAAACGTCCGGGTGCGAATCCAGCAGCGTGACCGCCCAGAGAAGTGAAGAGGTGGAAGCATCTTGTGCGGCAAAGAGAAAATCGAAAAGGAACCCACCTATCTCGGCGTCACTGGAGTACGGCGGCGGAGGATTGCCGGCGGCCTTGTTCTCGGCGATCTCCCTCAATGTGTCCTGCATCCAGTAATCGATCAAGCACGAGGGCTCTTCGCCTCCCTCCATCCTCTTCTTGCTGCGCCCAGTGCACGTCCCCAGGGTTTTGATCAGCCGGTCAACGGCGAGCCTAGCATTTCGGAACGCCGTCCCGGGAAAATCGATTGGCAGTTTCATGAGCCCAACATTGAAGAAAAAGTAATCCTGCTTAAACCTCTCTCGGGCCTCCAGGCCCAAATAGGGGCCCACGAACACCGTCTGAGAAGTTTCCAGATTCATATCGCGGGCCAGAACACGAAGCGCAATCGGGTTCGGTGCATTCTCCGACGAGAGCTTCTCCCATATCTTGAAATGCTTGAGGATAATAATCTGCTGCAACGCCGTGTAAGTAGATAAAGCCTTGGGGGTGAAATTCGGTGCGATCCTACGGCGTATATC